TTCGTTAGCCCAGTTAGCACTGTTTTGAACTGAACCTGAGATTCCAACAGTATATATGCTTGGCTGGTAGAGGGTGCGTCATAGCTCTGGGCGTGGCTACTGGGTATCCAGACGTCACGATGCCCAGGAAGAACATGATAAATCTCCAACGAGGCGTTTTGGGGAGGTTTTGTGTTAGAGTTTTACTCCCTACTGGGTGTACTTTGAGGGTTTTTGACTCTGCAGACCGTTTACATGCATACAAACCTTCATAACACACAAAGGGACGGGTAATAACTGGAAAAGCATGACATGGGCGCTTTTAAGATGATGACCTTATGTGTATATTATTATACTTATTATGTATATATTTTTTCTTTGTGGGGGTCTGCCCCCAAAAAACAGTTTTAAGTCCTGAGAAAGTCAAATAAGACGGTGTGTAAAACTACACTGCCCAGCCAAAAAAAAGTAACCACTTTGTAAGGACTTTCCACTGGATAATAACTTACTGCAGCGATGTATATGTTTTAGCTGAATACACGTTTTTTTTTAACCCTAACTGATGCAGTTAGTCACTTCTTTAATGTTTGTTCTTTCTGATGTAAAGTGCTGGTTGTAACTGTTTGCAATAAAGCGTGGGGTGCTGTTCCTTTGAATCTTTTGAATTTTGATATATGATATAATTACTTCAAAAAGGAGGGTGAGCAAGCATCTTGAGGAACATTCATCATTAACTCCTCCAAAAAATATAGTTTATTCAATAATAAATTAATATGTGAATCATAATAATAATGCATTTTATTCATATAGCGCTTTTCATAACTCAAAGACGCTTTACAGTATGAGGGAGGGTAGACAAACAAGGACAGGCATCATAACAGTGATTGACAGCTGATAGGAATATATGATTGTTAATAGTATCATATTCATTCAGACAAACATCGATGAGAAAGTTAATTATTGTACTTATTGCAGCAGTCTGCATAGATTTGGTACCCCTGCTGGTCTAAGAGTGAAACAAACTCATTCAGTTATTGTTCAGTTAAAATTCATTAAATGATGTCTGCCACCTTATATATTTATATGTGAGGCTTTACTGATGTGCCACAATAATGTCACTTAATGTTATTGAGTTAAAATATTAATATTGTGGCTTTCCAAGTTAACATTGATTGATATGACTGCGATTAAATCAGCATATACTTCTGCCAGGGGATGCCACCCTTCAAAATCTCTTGCCACTCCATTAATATTTTTCAAGATCTGCCCCTGCTATGCGTGAAAGGGTTAAAGTTACAACCGGCCCTATGAGTTTGACACCCCCAAAGTAAATATGCTGGTTCTCTGTTGTTATTTTTTTGAAAGCATTTTTTGTATAGGTAGTGTGATGTTTTCATACAGATTCTCATTACAGGTTAGTTACATTATTCAAATATAGGAATAGTAGATAGGATTACTTAAAATATAGTTCCTTATATTTCATATTTTTTCCCTTTAGACCCTTGCGGTTTATTCTTAAAAATCCTTACCCTTACACACCCCCCATTTTCCCTCTGCTGGTCTGTCTATGGCCTTGTAGAGGGTAACGGGGTACAGAGTCGCTTAGATAAGCGGGGGAGTGCATCTGACGAAGAGATAGGTTGTTGTGCTCCCTCTCTCTGTTTCGTATCCTATATCTAATAGAACTGCTCGGTCTTGATAGATTGAGTGGGGAAGTTCATGAGATCTTTCTAGAGGGTTATCAAGAATAACTTTTATCCAATTACCTTTTCCCTCTCTGTCTGTGTCTGTGTATCTCTTGTTCCGATTAACCCAGCCAAATCTTTTTTCTTGTTTTGTATCTATATCTACGCCGGGAACCGGAGTCGAGGCTGATCCTCTTGCTGTAGTCCTGTGTCTTGGATCCTCTATCCTGAGTTCTGGATTAAGTTGTGGACTTCGGGTCGTGGCTGAACCTGTCTCTGCGGTCCTGCCTTGGGTCTCGTCATGCTGCTTCCCTGATGGCTTCCACAGGATTGTAGCTGACATCCTCGTGGATTCATCTTCTTATTACAGACACATGCATTTCCTAACATTCGGTCTATATGCTGTAAAATGTATTACCTTCTATTTACACACGGCATCTATTGCACGTCTGTCCGTCCTGGGAGAGGGATCCCTCCTCTGTTGCTCTCCCTGAGGTTTCTCCCATTTTTTCCCCTTAAACTGTGGGTTTTCTCTGGAAGTTTTTCCTTGTACGATGTGAGGGTCTAAGGATAGAGGGTGTCGTTTTTCTCATACTGATATTCTGAACAATCTGCTGTTGTATTTGCTGTAAAGTGTCTCTACTGTAGGCTATTTTTATTTTATGTACAGCACTTTGGCTCGACCATAAATCGTTTATAAATGTGCTATATAAATAAAACTTGATTTGATTTGATTTGAATATCGATGCAATCCAGATTGCATATAATGCATGTCAAGTTGATCAACAGATTGTATTATTCTTCAATGCAATAACAGTACTGAAATGAAGGCATGGGGGGGGGGATAAATGGCCTAAAATAAAAAAATTGGAAAATGATTACGCCCACTTCAGGGATGGTGCATTGGGTCATTTGGGAGATATTTTGTATTGGGAGTTGGCACCTATCATGAAATAAACCCCCCACCCACCCAAAAAACTAAATCGGACATGTTTTTTTCCCCCCTTTTATCATTAAAAAGAAAAGAAAATCTTAAGAGAACACTTTGGTTCACCTGTCAGATGTTGCAAAGTTCTAATGTAACAAAGTACATTTACATAATGCATTGTGGCTCCTGGTTGACTGCAAGCAAACCGTTGAAATCCCCAAGCAGACAATCATATTCAACACACCATCTGACAAGCAGTTAAACAGAGTTGTCGCAGGTATTTTTTTTCCTTTTTAACAAAATTATATTTATATGATAATTTAGCTTGGTTTGTGTCAGGTTCCATCCAATATTAGTCATACTTTTAGCTTTCTAGCTGTTAAGAACGTAGCTCAAACTAGCACACTAGCACAGAGCACAACAAAGGGTTTTCAAAGCTGTTGGCAGAGATGTACAACTTGGAAACACCAGCAGGGCAGATCTTTTGTGGCACCCACACTACACTGGGCTTCAGCAGTGCCATGAATAAAGTGATGCGGTTGGTGGAGGCTGATATGAAGATGGAGCAAGTGCTACAGAGTTTCATGGTGGATCTGGATGTAGACAGCAAGAATGCCAGTGTGGCTGGACAGGCACTGGACATGTGGCTCAAGTTGGTGAATCCTGAGTATGCCCACAAACCCTGGAACCGCTACAGGGAATTCCTCCTCTTCCTTGAGCAAAGGCAGGTATCCAGTGTGTTGCTTTCCTACAAAGACAGCAGGTTTGGGTGTCTCTCCAGGGCAGCAGCAGTCCTAATATATCACTTTGGCCATCTCACAGAGTTCCTGAGCCAGAACCCTCACATAAACAACCGCCTGGCCTGCCTCGTCAGAGAAGTGATGGAGCTTCCCTACCTCAAGGTGGTCCTCGTGGTGTTTGCCTGCCTGGGTGTGCACTTGGTGGAGCACTTCTATGCCAGAACCATAGAGAAAGATGCTACCCATACTCAGCTCAGGGAGTTATAAGGGCATTAATGGGAGCCCTTTTTTTAAGTAACTAAAAAGTTACTTTTTACAGTAACGCATTACTTTTTGGTGTAACTAATCAGTAAAGTAACTGAGTTACTTTTGAAATGAAGTAACTAGTAATGGTAACTAGTTACTGGTTTTCAGTAACTAGCACAACACTGGTTTTGTTATATAGCACCTTTTAACAGAAGGATATTCAAAGTGCCTTACAAAGATGAAAGACATTAAGAGCATTTAGAAATAGTGCATTGGAAACACATTGTAAAATTGCATTTTAAAAACAGCCATTAAAAAGCAAAGAGAATAAAATAAACCTAAAACAAGCTGATATATAAAATAGATGAATAAAAGTTACTGTGCAGTGAAAGATATGAATAGTTCATTTAAAAGCAGCGGCAAAAATAAATGAATTTAAAAGTAGTAAGAGTTGCAGTGGACTGGCATGTTTCTGGTAGTTTGTCCCAGATATTTGGAGCATAATAATAACTGAATGCTGCTGTTTAGTTCTGACTCTGGGGACAAAAAGCAGACCCGTCCCAGAAGACCTGAGAGATCTGGATGGATCGATGTAGCAGGAGATCAGAAATGTATTTTGGCCCTAAACCATTCAATGCTTTATAAACCAGCAGCAGTTTTTTTAAATCAATTATTTGTGATGTAATCCACTTTCTTAGTGTTAGTGAGGACTCGGGCAGCAGCGTTCTGAATTAGCTGCAGCTTTCTAATATATGTTTGAGTGAAACCCATAGAGACACCATTACCGTAAGTCTTCTGATGATAAAAGCATGGACAAGTTTTTCCAAATCCTGCTGTGACATTAGTCTTTTAATCCTAGATATATTCTTAAACTGATATGCTGACTTTGTCATTGTTTTAATGTGACTATTAAAATACAGGTCCATGATTACACCTAGATTTCTGGCTATTTCTTTTGTATTGAACATTGCCGACTGAAGCTCAGCGCTGACTTTTATTCGTTCCTCCTTGGCTCCAAAAACAATTCAATCAGGAGAGACTTCATTTTGTTTAACGTGTTTTATTATTTCCAATTCAAATTACAATACTAAAGAATTTGTTTTCAAAGCGAAACAAATGTCTTTAAATATTGTGCTCAGACAACAAATAGCAAATATCTATTTTAAAATAAGATCATATTACATTATTAGAAATGTCAAATGTACTACTCTTAAAACCTTTGTCAAATTCAGTATAATTTACTTCAAATACTGATTGTGGATATAACCCTGACAAAATAACTAATGCTAATACAATAAGTAGCTACATGTAGCTAACTGTGCAAAAATAATTTGATCAAAACTTGCTTTTTTTTTTACTTCATTGGGCTTTTTCTGCTTTATTCATGATGAATTCCAGTTCAAACAAGAGATCAACAAGATATTATTCAGGATTTTCCACAATGAGGGGTGTGATGTAATCCGAATGACGCATTCCAAAAGAGAAGCTCGGAGCTTTAGATCTTGTGATGGTCACCTTGGTGGAGAGAAATGTTAGTGGAAATGCTACATATTTGTGATATATTTATTTAATCTTCAATGTGGTTTCTTACCATCTCAGGATAGTATGCACCAGGTCCTGGAGTCTTTGTAGATACCCCAGGTGGAAAGTTGCGGCCTGTCATGCTGATCTGAGGAAGTCTTTCCCTGTAAATATTAAGGTCCACAACGTTGTACGCAGCAGGGCCTGGAGTCTGGAGGGGAACACAATTATTGAAAATAACTACATCCCAGGATTTCAGGATTTATTGTTTAAGAAATGTGTTTGACACTTATATGTACCTTACTTAGGTCCTCATAGAAGTTGCCATGTTTGTTGCGGCCGAAAAGAGAGAAAGAGGGAGCTGTGGATTTGACCACAGTGTTGTTTCCCAGCAGAGGGGGCAGAGAGTAGGAGGCTGGACCTGCAGCAGGAGCAACATACAGGGGAAGTTGATATGCATTACATGTTACTTGTTACATTACATGTTACTTGTTAGACGCTTTTATCCAAAACGACTTACATACTCAATAGTGTGGGCAATCCCCACAGGAGCAATTTGGGGTGAAGTGTCTTGCCCAGTGGGGTTTGAACCTGTGCTCCCTTGATCTGAACACCAATGCTCTATCCACTGCGCCACACGCCTCCAGATATGCTAGTAACCCACAGCTTAAATGAAGTTGACACCAAATACATACCTGGTGTTTGAATATTGCTGATTTCTTTGCCCCTCCCTGACATAGAATAGGCAGGAGCACAGTGGAAGACTGACTTTCCAGCATTTTCTGGGGAGTATGTGCCTGAAAACCACAGAAAGTTTTTATCACAAATGAATGTATGCATCATGACAAAACAGCATATTTCCAATTTTGAGTGAGTAGTCGGAGATTTGATATCAGCCTTGTTTCATTTTTTTGCAAATGTGCAAGGGGGTTTGCTGACCTGGTCCAGGGGTCTGGAATAGTTTTGGATCCTTTGGACGGCTGGAGAAAGAATAAGCAGGAGGGCCGCCTAGGCCTACTCTGGTGATGTTGGAGGGGATGAGGTAGCTCGGTCCAGGGGTGATCTCAGTCTTTGTTTCATGACGTGATCCAAAGCTAAACTGCGGTGCTGTTTTCTTTGTAGGGTCATGTTTCGAAGCACCTTTATAAAGGAAACAGGGACAACAATGTGAGTAATAATAATATTAATCATAATAATGGTGTTTGGGGGTTAATGCTTAAACAAAATGGTGGTTGTACCTATGAGTCCAGGGAGTGCATACTTGGGACCTGGACTACCGTAGAGGGCAGCTATGGGCCTTCTTGGTTTGTGAGGCTTCCAGGTACCAACCAGAGCTTCACCACTCGACGTTTTCCTGAGAGAGAGGTGTATCATAACCAAAAGCAAATTAAAATGTGCTTTTATTTATTCAAAAAGAAGAATGTGTCCCTACACTTACCATTGCTTTTGAACAGGGAAAAAAAAATAAAAAATCTGTCATGCATGAGTCGATTGTGGCTTAGAAAATATCATTACAGGCATGAAGAGAGCCAGTAATGAATATTGGCCAGTCTGTTATAGAAATAACACTAATGCTTTTCGGCACACTTGCCCTCTCAAAGTATTTCAATAATACAATGAATATTAACTTAAATGTTGTGGTTGAGCTTATTTTAACTAGTTAATATCTTGTTGTTTAGTAAAGTTATTATACAGAACATTAAAGTTACATTTACAGTTGAAATCTCTTACAGTGATCATGTCCGTGTCAAACTGAACACCACAAGCAGCTGTTTAAAAATATGTTGATGTCATTACAGCAAATAGGAATCAACTTGACGGTGGTTTCAATGCTTATGAATGCCAAATGGTATGAAAAGGATGTGAGTAAAATAAATAACATATCAAAAAAGTTTTCACATAAAAAAATCCCAATAATTCCAAGTATAGCCATCTAAATAGTTAGTGATACATATTCTTGATATAATATGCCATATACAAATTGCAATATACAATGTTTAAAAAATAAATAAGTATGAAATGCCTTAAGTCATGAAAATACAAAAATGCAATATAGTATGTGTTAAAAAAGCTAAGTTAAAAGTCAGAGTGTAGTAATTCATAATGATGTCACAAAAATATCATGGTATAGTTTGTTAAAAAAATCACACTACATGCCAAACAAAGTATATAGTATAGTTTACCCATAAAATGTCACGATTGTCATTGTTTAGTATGCAAAAAAATATAGAATGGTATAAATATTCCAGAAGTATGGCATACAATGTCATGTCTGTATGCCTTGAAGAAGAAAAGCCATATTAAAGAATACAAAAAGTGTATGGTGAATGGTAAAAAGTCATAGTATTTCATCAATCTAGGTTTCCCTGGATAAATCAAAATGCTGTGTTTGTTTATTAATTGAGCCAGGCGTCTGCTCTGTGAAGTCTTTACAGATTGTCAGTGTGTCAGCGCGGCTCGGTACAGATGGACAGAATAAATATCAAATCCTTGGAAAAGAAGCGGAACAGCTGTCAGTAGAGCTGGCATCTTTCAACTTGAGTCTCCAGTAGCCTACCAAACAAACACACGCATAACATGTACACAACAATATCTTATACATTTTGCCACAGGACTTAAACGATGTCATTCTTGTTTAAATAACATTTAGCAATAGCCATGTTTGAACAGTGACTGTGTTGAATTTAGAGCATCAGAAAATGTAGGTCATTTTATGAGGTGCTAGAAACTCGAGGGAAAGAGAGAAAATGAGGGCTGGATGAAAGTGAGTTGTAGATGTTTTTCCAGAGGTTCTTTATGAATATTTCATTTGTAATTTGTTTGATTATTGCCACACTCTATACTGACGATGATATATTGAATACAATTTGAAAAACAATATATTTACAGTTATACAGTTTATCTTATTCTACATGTGTATAGACTCCTGCATTAACTTCACGTACAACATTCTCTGCTTTTGCTACTTTGCTACAATTCAGAGACTTTGACTCCACTACATTTATTTATTTAATACCTTTAAATCTGCAGAATGGGTACATTTACTTTTGGTACTTTAAGTATATTTTGATGCTGTACTTTTACTTGAGTAACCTTTTGAATGCATGATTTTTACAGAGTATTTCTACACTAACCCTTTTACTTAAGTACAAGACCTAAGTACTCTTCCACCTCTGACAAAAGCCTTTGAATCTTTGAATTTACCACAGTTTTACATTTATATTTATATATTATATTTATATTTTCAGCCCACTATATGTGGTTTTATATTTTGAGTAAAACCAAGCTATACTAATTGACATGTACGTGCAACTAGCTCAACTATGTGTCACACATTCACTAATCAACATGTATGACTGTTAGAGCACTTCCATATTTGACTAGTATAGATAGACCCCCAACTTGTCAGCATTTTTGCCTTGAAACGTTTCTTTACCTTATTATTTTTATTAGATCTTAGCGTTTGACACTGTTGACCACAACATATTACATTAGACCGACTAGAAAACTGGGTGGACTTTCGTCAACAGTTCTAAATTTGTTTGAATCCTACTTAAAGGACAGGAAAAACGTTGTTTCTATAGGTAACTACACACATCTGAGTTGACAAATATGACACGTGGGTTCCTCAAGGCTCCATCCTGGGGCCTCTTTCTACCACTGGCTCGGATAATGAAAAACAACAAAATAAGTTACCATGCAGACGACACATTCATTTATATAACCAATTCACCAGGAGACTATGCTCCAATTCAAGCCTGAGTACATGCATGAACAAATCAATGACTGGAACTTTCTTCAACTTGATTCAGGTTTCCATGCTGCCGCCCGCCTCCTGCCCATCCACCTCCTTTCATCATATGCCAAAAGAGCTAATCCAAAGACCTCATCACACCTCCTCTTCATCCCATCTCCTCATCAAATCCAGATCTTCAGCATCACCACCAGTGTCTAGACCCCGGGGGGGTTCCCTATATGCTCACGGCTTTATTTCCCCCTTTAGATATACGATTTCATGATCGGGGTCTAATCACCAAAGACTTAACATTTATATGTCATGTGTCAATAAATGTTCTTTAAAGTTGCTTCTCCATTTACCAAATGTAAGACATTAATTCCTAAAATATGTGCAGCATATGTGCTTCAAGGACATCTCTTGTGGTAACAGGTAGAGGAATGATTCCAAATTATAATTTGTATAATCTGACTGCATGATACACTTACTTACTTTTTTAAATACTTATTAATGTGGTCCTGCAGATGCAGAGTTGACTACAATCCTCATTCTTCACTGCCATTGAAAGCAAATGGTAAGAAAAAGGTTTATGCCCATCTACTTCGGCCCCATGGGACCTTATTTCTGAAAAATTATGTATTGAAGTCAATGGAGAGAGAAAACTTATCTTTCGATCCCATTTGAATTGTGCCACGAATTACACATATGATGTTGTCAATCTTAAAAAATCATTTCCATGTCAAAAAAGTCACAGTTTGTCTAAAACTGTTGAAATATAAGACTATGAAAAATACGCAACTAGAAAGACTACAAATCCCAGAGCCGCGTACATTAACGTTACACATTACACTCACCAAAACCTTATAAAGCCGGTCCCGCATGCTGGCTCTTACGGAACCAACTAACTCCCCTTTTATGTACAGTTCTCAACATGGCCAGACTTGTAGTGATTTTCACCTATTTTAATACTTTTCACTTCATTCTGAAAGAAAGAGGTGAAATGTGTTAACGTGACGGCCATCTTGGTGTTGGTGACGTATATGCAAGACCAGAGTTGTAGTTCATTGAGCGCTTCACACAAACACATGTGTTACTTCACAGTTTTACGACACATTTTTATTTTTTTGACTTGCAAAATTATCTTTTAAATTGACAAACATCATATGTGTAATTCGTGGCACAATTCAAACGGGATCAAAAGATAATCTTTCTCTCTCCATTGACTTCAATACATGATTTTTCCAAAATAAGGTCCCATGGAGGTCCACCGGAGAGGGAGGGACTTCGCCACTCTGTACTATAAAGGAGGTGTGTCCTAATTAAACAGTTTAGTGAAACAATTCTGCTACTACTCACTGGGTGAGATCACATGGAAGCTATAGAAAAAGAAAACAAGATTTTGCAATAAAAAGAGCTCAAATTTGGGGAGAAATAAAAGTGGAATAACAAATTATAAAAACAGATGTGTCCCACTCTTCGAGCAATTCTGCAAAGATTTTGAGACAGTAGGTCACATGACAAGAGGAATACAATCCAGTAAAAAACACATTCATTAGTAATACTTGGAATGGCATTGGAATCAATGAGTGACATTGAAGCTTTTGAAAATAAATAAAACGATCTTCTATTAAAATATGTTTCAAATAAATTCATGACACATGAGGAAATTAAAATATCTGTACAATTCTCATAATTTTGTTCTATAATTGGGGCAAGTTAGCACATACAAAAAACGAATTAGCCTTCTTGACAGGCACTTGTAAGGGCAGCAGGAACACTGACAACGAGGTCCTTCAGGCGTCCCCGTTGCATAGAAACGGAAACCTTCGGCGACATCATAACACATCTACAAACTTTAACGTCTGGATGCCTAGATGAGTGCATCAACAACCGGTTCATTGTGATTGAAGATCAGTATACACAAGACAATCGGAGACATTTTTGATAAGTGCTCTAGCTTAACAAATGCTAACAAGGCTACTAGCTGTTACCTAGCTGTGTTCAGTGGTCACTGTGTGTACAGTACTCAAAAGAGACTTTAAAAGACACATGTAAACAATTAACGTCTCTGGACTATTCTCAGGTTTAGTTAACATTAGAGGATAAACTAACCAGTGTAATGAGTGATATCAAGCCGACCCTCACGATGTTTACCTCAGCTAGCTAACACTCATTCTCTTTCGTCGGATGCTAGCTTCCGTAGATCAGCTGTTCAGGTAGTTATCAATTAAACTGGGCGAGAGTTGGCTCATTCAATCATTCTAGTCAAATCAGTTAACGGAAAAAAAGTTGAAATGGCTGGCGACGCTGGCAGCATCCTGAACTGGACCAAAAAAGACGATTCAGGCGAGCAGGTGAAGATCATCTGTCTGGGAGACAGCGCAGTCGGTAAATCTAAGTGAGTATGAGCTGCTGTAAGCTTAGGCTCCTGGAAGCCGTGTTGTGTAAAAGCTTTCCTTTTTCCTGGTACCGTTCATTATTACATGATTGTTGCGTTCTCTCTCTCTCTCTCTCTCTCTCTCTCTCTCTCTCTCTCTCTCCTCCTCTTCTCTCTCTCTCTCTCCTCTCTCTCTCTCTCTCTCTCTCCTCTCTCCTCTCTCTCTCTCTCTCTCACAGGCTGATGGAGAGATTTCTCATGGACGAATAGTATCCTTTTGCAGTTTCTGAAATGAAACATATCTGTGTCAGTCATTCGTATTCGTCCTGCCATGGGCATTGCATAAACGTTAAAGGTCACCTAATATTCTTTTTCAACAATATATTACAGGTCTCAGATTGTATCATGCCATATACCCCTCTGTTTAAAAAGTGTGGATTCCGTTTGTGTAGCTTTAAATGCAAATGGTTGGTTTAAAAACAAGCTGGCATGCCTACAATAAGCAGATATTTTTTCCCCAGAGAGCTCCTTAACTATTTCTACAGTCGTCCCCAGCAGTTGTCAACCTATGCTTTGACTCTCTACAAACACACAGCCACTGTAGGAAATAAGACAGTAGCCATTGGTATGTATTTAGAAATGATTCTGTTCTGCTCTCTGTGACCACAGGAAATACATTCACCAATTTGAAAATCAACTGTCAAGTTAAAATCAACAGGATTTGGTGATTTTTGTTTTTGATTCACAGATTTCTGGGACACCGCTGGTCAGGAGTGATTTCAGAGCATGCACCCCTCGTACTACCACAAAGCACATGCATGCATAATGGTAAAACACACGCTTAGTGTCCGGTGCTTTTCAATATTCATCTAGCCTGCATTTTAGGCGAGGTAGAATATCAAGTAACTATTAAACGAATTCAGAAAAGTGACAAATACATAATATGGCCCTCTAATTTGGCCCTCACAACACTGTAACATGTTGCATTCTTGTTAAGTTCCACCTCTTAAGATGCAGATGGTGTTTCCCTCACGGATAAGTCAACGAGGACTTGTTAGATGATTGCTGCAATGCAACTGTCTCTGTCTTCAAAGATGCACTCCTTTGTTAACCTGTCTTCTTTCTCTTAGGTTTTTGATGTTCAAAGGAAGATCACTTATAAGAATCTGGCCAACTGGTATAAGGAGCTGAGAGAGTTCAGACCAGAGATACCCTGTTGTGTGGTGGCTAACAAAATTGATGGTAAGTCTGGTACTGACACACATCACAAAGACCAACACACTTCTACTGTAAGTTTAATATGGATAGTTACCTTAAAAAAAACCCACTTAAAAACCTCCAATCTTCTCCTTTAATGTAATTAGGATAAATAAATATGTCTTTATTAGTTTGCACACTTTGTCTACATTACTTTATCCTTTGATTACACATTCAATTTACAATTATAGTTGTGAACATGTGTGTTTTTTTGTATTTTCAGCGGATTTGAAGGTGACACAGAGAAGCTTTAACTTTGGGAAGAAGCAAGGAATCCCATTTTACTTTGTATCTGCGGCTGATGGGACAAATGTAGTTAAGGTTTGCACTTCTTATTCTCTTCCAGTGTTCATGTCAGTCATCCCCAGGGTCATTTTGTAATGCATTTCAATCACATCAGCAGTTTTACAGTTAACTGTTTGTCTTGATACCACACCTTTTATGAATTGACAATACAGTTGAACCCATTTGTGTTATTTTTTCTGACTGTAACTGCCCCAACAGATGTTCAGAGAGATGATCACGAGAGCAGTGGAGTACAAGCCCCAGCGACTTCATGGATGAAGTGTTGCAGGAATTAGAGGTACATCCCTCTAAATAAAAAAAAGAGTAGTTTTATAAATACCCCTCTCCAAATCAGACCCCTCTGGAGACATTACTTCCTAAACACACAGGTATGACAGGTGTGACTGCGCCGATGCTGACTGCCCATGTTTAATATAATAACTGTAGTGTCATGGAAGAGGAGCAGCAGTATTACGCAACTGTAAAATGCTTCTTCTCTGATCACCAAGTAAAGATATTTGATTACAATACTGATCAACCAGAACTCATCAAAGTATGATGCTGCAGCTTCATCAAGTAGATACATATTTCTAAAGGGGCCACAGATTCCACTTAATGCCATTTGTACTTGTGTATTAATTTGTACACATACACACACACACACACACACATACACACACACGTTTGTGAACGTAATAAGATGGACCTTTATTAATACCGTGGGGAAATTCAGTAGTTTAATAGCAACAGGGTAAGGATGAAAAACAGGACAGTACCGATTCACACAGATGAATACAATTCAAATCAAAGATACACATTTAAAATAATAAAATAAGAAATGAATTAAAATGAACATATATATACATATTAGATATATTTACATGTGTGTGTGAAAACGGTGTGTATTTTATGTCCAGTAATTGTGTCACAAAGCTTTATGTTCTTGTTTTCCTCTGGCTACATTGGGGCTGTTTGTAAAAGTAAATACATTTCAAACTATATTAATATTAATGCTCTGAATGTTGTATGGAGAACCTTTCTTACTGTGATTGTTTAACCCAGATCATTCCTTCATTAGCCAAACTATTAAATGGTGTTTTTGGTAACAAATCTCCAAACTGTACTTAGGCCTGTCACGATAATTAATTTTGTTGGACGATAAATGTTCCCGGAAATTATTGCGATAAACGATAATATTGTCGGCACTGTTGTAAGACCATTTTAGACCACTGACATAATGATAATATATAATAATAATTCAAGTACATCCTTTCAAACATAACTTTTTATAGAACATTGCAATTGAAATGTGAAATAATAATATTCAAATATATAAATGATATATAATAAATAAAACAAATTAAATATATACATAAATAAATATGAGCACACATTGTCTCACAAGCAAAAAAACAACTCCTTAAAATAGCAGTCGAGTGTACAGTCCACTAGGGATGCTCCGATCGATATCGGCCGATACTCACTCTCTACCGATCGATCGGTGCTCTCTAAACATGCCGATCGCGAGAGCCGATCGCATGACGTAAAATACATGACACTTTTCTCTGTGTGCGGCAAAACAAGCTCGCCAAAATGGCTTCACCGGTCTGGCAGTATTTCAAGGTGTCCGAAAAAGACAGTAAAATAGCGGTATGCAACGTGTGTGAAGCAGAAATCCTGCAGCTCCACCCGCTGAGACGCACCGGTGAGCGGAGCGAACAAACACACAAGAGTTAGACCTACTTAGCTATTTGATCTACCTCTGGAACAAGCTAAACTAGTTATTATACATATTCTTCACTGTCGGGTCACTCATTACTGGATCAGTGAGCTGCATGAGATACTGACAGGCTGTCAGGAGAGGGAGAGAGGAAAAGAGAGCGCTTCCGCTCATTTCTCCCGTGTTATTATCCAAAGTGAATGTAAACTTGAATAATGTACTTCATTTGAATGTAATAATTAAGTTGATTGTTGTTTGTGGAAGCTCCAGTGAATCATCATCTTTTATTTAAAGAGACTCTTGGTCCATTATTACAAAAACATACAACACTCAAATATAAATTAAAAAAAGGCAGTTATACCAATGTTTCCACAGAGGTGACTGATATCGTACAGCACTGAAACACAGATTTGAAAGCAGCATAATGACAGAGTTATGAGAAACATTCAATCGACAGATGAATGTGTACATCAGATTTCTCAAAAGAGCATGGAACGTGTTGACTCGTGCGTTACAGAACATTTCACTTGCACTGCACCACCTTGGTTTTCTAAGCAGTATACGCAAACAGTCATTATATGCAACCTGGAGCTTCTTGATGCTCGCCTTCTTATACTTGACCCACAAGGGGGCAGTATAGAGAGGAGTGCAATAAGCTCTAAAGAGGTTCACCTTAACCTTATCTGAACACCAAGAGAGTTTTCTAGCCAACATGTTGGCTTGCATATATAAGACACGCTGCTGTCTATACATGTCATCATCATGAGCCATTTCATCTGTGATGATGTGTCCCAGATACTTAGTGTTACAGCAAACAGACAGCACCTGCCCTGACAGGTAGAATGTTGGAAAACCAAGGTTCTTATCCCCTTTTGCTCTGCAGATCATTACAGCGCTCTTCTTAGCATTGTATTTAACGTCAAATTTGACTCCGTAATCAGAACAAACATTTAGCAACTGTTGAAAACCAGCACTGCTAGGAGAAACAATAGCCAGATCATCGGCATACATAAGATGGTTTACAATCACATTACCAATCACACACCCTGTTTTACAGACACTTAAATCATCTGATAGATCATTCATATAGATATTAAAAAGGCATGGTGAGAGGAGCCCCCCCTGGCGGACTCCATTACCAACACCAAATGGCGCAGAGACTGCATTCCCCCATTTGATCCGCATGCTCTGGTTGGCATACCAATGAGCCCCATTAACTGAGTTTTAAACATCACTTTAAATGGAAGATTTAAAGTGATGTTTAAATCTTCCATTTAGGCCCCGCCCACTTGATCGGATCGGCGATCGGTATCGGCCGATACTGATTCCGGCGATCGGCCCCGAAATTGGCGATCGGAGCATCCCTACAGTCCACTGTCCATACAAAGACCCAGATGCCTCAACAGGCCATATCCAAATCTGTGCATGTAAATGGCAATTTATCGAGCTCAGAAAAGTAATCGAGTCCATTTTTATTTATCTTACGATAAGTCAATTTATTGATTATCGCGACAGGCCTAAATGTACTCCTCTCCCAATTACTGTTGTAGTTGTTCTTGGATTATATTCAATAATTAGCCATTTCTACACATCTGGTAATGGTAAACTGTACATAACTACACTACAAAACAACATTTTAGTCTTTATAAATGAATTTACTCACTAATAGTTATTTTCAGAATGAATCGATTGTCAAGTCTATAAAATGTATTTTTTTTTAAATGGAAGAATATCAGCATAACAGTTTTCCATATTCAAAAATGACATCTTTGAATGTCTATAGCCAAAATATACAGCTCACTATCACCGAAGATCAACTAACCTCGTTGATTTATTTTTCTGACCTAGGGCCTCATCTTCGTGGTAGACAGCAATGACAGAGAAAGAGTGGCAGAGTCTTCAGAGGAGCTTCAGAAGATGGTTGGTATTACATTTGTTCAGCATGACATGGACTGAATATTGTTCTCTGTGCAGGGATGCATTACAGAGAGCTTCATCATTTGGCATTATTGTTGTGACATGCAGAGTTGTTGACTCATGTTGTGACGTAGGTAAATCAAAGTGAATATAATAGTGTCAACCCTACATTGGATGACAAGCCTTTAAACCAAAAACAACAGGATCTCTTCATGAAGATATTGCGTGGTTAACCCTTGAATTTTGAAATCATTGTGTAACCTTGTCGACTTCTACTGAGCACATCAACAATACAAGTGCCCGATTGCCTTAAATCTCACTTGATAAACGCAGTACACTGAGTCAGTGCAACAAAAAATGACTGAAGTAAACACTCCATGAAATGGTTATAATGTTTGCATTTTATTCATTGTAATCAAGTTTTTTTTTTTAACCAAGGTAGATTTATTTTTACCCTGGATTTTTGTCGATGCCTAAAACTATCAAATGTTTAAAACAATTTAGAACTGACTCTTTTTCCTTCTAGCATTTTGAGTGTTTGAATGTATTGACCACCTGCAAAATAGGTCTGCAGGGCTCGAACCAGGGACATTGTAAAGCTATAGTCAGCTTCTCAGATCCCTAATATTAGAGCTGATACTAATCTACCGTCTGCCCCTCTAGTTGACGGAGGACGAGTTGAAAGACGCCGTTTTGCTGGTGTTTGCTAACAAACAGGACCTTCCCAATGCCTTACCAGTCAGTGAGCTTACAGAAAAACTCGGCCTACAAGCCCTCCGCAACAAAAATGTAAGTAAACATGCTCCGCATACACCGGAGTGTAATTTGTAATCATGTGCAGAGTTGCATTTATATTTCTTCCTATGTAACTCACGCCATATTCTCTTTGTCCCCACAGTGGCACATCCAGTCAACCTGCGCCACCCAGGGCAGCGGGCTGTACGAAGGACTCAACTGGCTGTCCGAGGCCTTGACCAAGAACTAAAGAAGGATCAGCTGGAGAGATGAGAGAGAAAGACTGAACCCAACAGGACGGGAGAGAAGGCACAGACATTCAATCCAGAAACATTTGGCCTTCCAGCACCAATGTTCACAAAAAGGACAAGGCTGGAGGACAACATGTAATCATCTTTGGAACATTTTTAATTACTTTTTTTCCTTCTTTTATTATCAATGATATTACCATATTATCTTTTGACATAGTCTCTATTTTTCTCCTATCGTTCCTAAGCTCTTTAAACGGCGATATGTTGTAGTGACACATTCAGTTGCCTAAAACGAGGAAGGAAGCGTCTTTTCAGTTTTCACACGACAATGTTGTGTGACACAGTAAAGTAGCATGTTTTTTGTTGTTGTTTGAGTTTGTTGTACTTCCTGAAGGTTAATACTGTATTATAATCTTTTCTACCCCTCTTGAAATACAAATACACACCTGGCCTTTAGTTTGTTTTTGTGTATACATTCCAACCTATGCTTGCCGATCCTGGAGTTGCCACTCTTAAAATTAGCAAAATAATATTTTACAAAAAAGCTCTGAATAAAGACAATGTTTAAAAAAGACTATGCGTTTTGGAATCCACTCATTGTTGATGACGGCAGTTGTCACTTTTCTCTGGACTTTAAGTTGTTACTCATTAAAAGCATCGTGAAAAAAATCAGATCATCCTTACTACATTTTCAAATTTCAAAGTTTCATAATTTCCAGCTCATAAATTCCAGTTGTCTTTAATCAGGAAATGAGCATTTCAAGAAGTGCTGTTTACTTCTGAGACTAAAAAACGCTCTTCATACAGAAAATAGACAATATGATTATAAAAATACTGTACAATACTCCAAACTAAGGTGAGACGTATTCAGGGTCAGTGGGGTGGAGCAGTTTGAGAATCCTGAACCCTTTTGTGTTTTTCTCCATGAGACTCCAGCTTTGTGGTTTTATCAAAACCACTGAACTTCCTCAAATGTCCAGCTTTGTGGTAATATTCTGCACCACGAAATGCACTGCTTCTTTATGTGGAAGATAGCCCTTAGCAGGTTAGCTAAGCTATTACTTGCTCAGCAATTTAAAGGATATGGGTGTCAATAAGCTTTACTGGAAACCAACAATTGGAGAGTTGGAAGCAATATCCCTGAAACGCCCATCAATACTATTCAGAGGCAGCAAGCCAACATTACCCAACATGCAGCTGACCATTGTTCTGACTTCTAATGACATTAAATGATTAAGAATGGCAGGGACAAGCCACCATGTTAATCTACATAACTAATGAAGGTGCCTTAAAGAAACAAACTGAGGTAACGCTGCAGTCCTCACACAGGGCAGCAGGAGAGGAGAGGGAGATGTATCTTCATCATAATCATGCTGGTCAATTTCTGTACAGCAGGGGGCGACGTGTCCCACCATCAGACATGGCAACAAACAATAAGCTTATATCTGGGTGTCACGTTATAAGCACCTTCCTACATTGTTCATGGGTTAAGGTATAAGCTTTATATAATTGGCTTGCTATAATGTTTGAATGTGTGTTCTAATGTATTTATGACAGCTCATCAGGATTACTGGAGCTGTGGAAACACTGCACAGTGTATCCTGCTGCCTGAGGTACCAATTCCCTGTTCTTTTAAACTCGGAAACTTTACATAAGATTTACAGCTTCACTGCCCAATAAGGTAAGGTCATATTTAAACATGGTATTGTATTATATTAGGCTAGTAGTTTACAGATATTGTATTTATTCTTTGCATTCTTTATATTTTCTAATGTCCTTTCCAGATCTATAGGCTTTTTGTTTTTTTAAACAAACTTACATTTAGTATGAAGACTCATTCACAATATGCTAAATTACTGCAAAAAATGATACCAGCAAAAAAAACATGTGCATGACCACATACATGTCCGTTCAAAATCTGTGTCTGAATCAGAATCAGAATACCTTTATTAGTTCCACAGAGCCAAATACAGCTTAATGTTACCTAAGTACAGTAGCATGCATATACATGGCTCACATTGATGTGTTTTCTTCTGCAGGATAATGCAGACCTTGATACCAGTACCACAGCCCTCCTTATCCCAGGCCAGGGAGAATCTGGTGAATGCTTTCCCCCCCAGGCTCCTCTGTCTGCTGGCCTGCGGAGGAATAGGTTGCCGCTATGAAGGACCAGAGTGTTGGAAATTAAATCAACAGGTCATTCGAGGCATCTTCTCCTCCTGGTGAGAGGATGTGATTGAATCTCATTATATGTGGCTGAATTTGCTCCATCAAAAACAATAAGTGTACATTTACAGAATTGTTGAATGTCTTGCTATTGCAGGGTGACAGATGACATCATAGCCATGGCACGGCCATCTAGTCATCTAATTAAGAAGTACAAAATCATAGAACAATTTCAAAGGTAATCGGTTTTGATTGTTATCTCTGTAATGTTTGTGTGGTGTGCATGATACATGAGAAGCACGTGTGACAACGTAATATATACAACCTCCTGCCCGCTTACATGTTAGGATCCAAATGACATTTTTGTATTTTTGTAATCATTAATCTGATAAAGAAATCTGACATCATTGCTTTTTGGTTACACTGAGTAATGCCTTCAATTTAGGACATATTAGATCTTTATTGTCACAAGAAATATTGCCTTTAAGACAAAGTCACAGCACTAGTGTGTCCACCGTCTTCTTCTTAATTTATGAGTTTGTTCCAGGTTAAACATCAGATCAATCATCAACATGCAGCTCCCTGGAGAACACGCTCACTGTGGACCTCCCATAGAACCTGACAGCGGTTTCACGTACTCCCCACAGACCTTCATGGACAATGACAGTGAGATTGTGATACATTTGATACAGAAACTGTTTGCCCTCTTTATATCTGAACAAATTGGGACATCTAGATAAACATTCAAGGTTAACATGATATGAGTTGCAGTGTTTGTGTGGTCCTTCGTGATACAATGGCTTACAGGTAATCCCAATGAATGTCAACTATGATCCTAAATGCAATCATATGTGCACATATTTGTATGTTTGCAGTTTACTTTTACAACTTTGGGATGCAAGACTTCAATGCGTCCTCCCTTGTTGGTTTAATTGACGGGGTGAAGGTTCTGGCCTTTGCACTGAGGGAAGGAAGAGTGGCCGTGCACTGCCATGCAGGCCTGGGCAGATCAGGTATGTATAAACAAACACACTGTATCTAGTATGTAAACACATGTGAATATTCAGTGTGTGTTCTTGCTGCTCAACAGGCGTCCTGATAGCCTGCTACTTGATTTACATCCTGCGCATCAGCCCAAGTGAGGCCGTTCATTATTTGCGGATCAAACGTCCACACTCCATCCAAACTCGGGCCCAGCTGAACCAGGTGTTTGACTTTGCTCGCCTGCTTGGCTCACAGCTGGTTCAATACCCAGACCCTCGCCTGCGGCACGGAGACCCTTTCAGCCTGCAGCTGCACCTGAACAGACAGGCCTTACTGCTGCATGGCCAGGAGGCACGCACCCTCAAACAAACACCAAAGGTCTGGACCGTACATTATTTATTTTCCATTAACACAAATCACTGCACATTAGTTTAACTGCAGTTTTACTTGAAATAGGTGGTGTACCTCCTGTGTGTGTATCTCTCCTGCTTAGCCCTGGGTCTCCCTGCCCCTCCAGAGATCCAGGCTGAGCTGGACAAGAGGTCAGCACTGAGGAGCCTGAGCAGGACCGTGAGGGAGAGCCTGGTGTCGAAACAGTGCTTGCCCTTACTGAGAGAGTGTCACCAGGGGCCAAGAGTGAGTTTAGGATCGGTGTCCTTCTGGGACGAGCCTCTGGGCTTTTTGACGAGGAAGAGAGAGGTGCTGCAAGACAAACGCAGCTACAGTGACTCTGACCTCAGCAAGATCGCAGTAAATCAGGTCCAATTTGACTTTGTTTGTCCACAATTACATTCTTCTTTTGTAAATCAAATTTAGGCTTTTCTCACTCTGTTTGATTCTCTTCTGAAGGATCTGGAGTTGAGTCCATACTGCAACTCAGAAGCTGGAAATGAAAGACAGGTTTGTGTAAAGGATCTGACACAACCTGATCTGAGACCAGCTAGTCCGATCCTTGCCAGCATCAAACAAGGCCTCCAGCCAACCAAAATGGAATCTCAAGCACTCAACATGCCAGTATCTAGCATGACATCAAGCAACGACTGTGCTCTGAGGTCAAAGTGCTCAGCTAGAAAGGCACTTCCCAAATACAGCTCCAACATTGAGGTAACTGAGATTATTATTACAATAAAATTAAAATAATGAAAACTCTGATGTGTATGTGTCCAAAATTTTGTTTGTATTTCACATAAAGTTAAGCAGAAATCTACATAATCCAGGCCCAGCCTCAGTTGCTGTTGCTAAGGCATTGGCAGATCTTTGTCCACCGGAAGAAAACATCCTGCAAAGATCAGCTCTGCTGCAGGTGAGAAACACTGGTTAAAAATCACCACATCTCACTTTAATTTTGAGCTCTGATGAATACTTTCACCCACGTTTTCAACAGGAGGAACTGAACAGTAGTGACTGTGGCTGGGCTCTGCTGCTCACTGAGTCAGATCCTCAGGTTCTCAGCTGTCTGCTGTGGACCTGGCTGGAGAGGTTAAAGGTCAGTGGCAGCAAACAAGAGGTCATGAGTACAGTATTCAAAGGTTTTATTATTCATATGCACATAAGCTACAGTGTAGAAATGGCAGTGCAATTCTTATGACCCGAGCTCCTCCAACAATGCAACATATATAATAAAATATAAATACAATACAAAAATAATGCAATAAGTCCATATACATGTGAAAAGAATATGATGCAAGAACAGAAGGTGAAATTAAATATTGTACATTAAGACACACTTAAATACGGTTTATTGCGGTGATATTACATGATTACATTTGATGTAAATAATACACATTTTGAAAAGAAATGTTTCCATCTTTAGGTAAAGATTGTTCTCTCAGTCTCATATCTGTTTGTTTCAATGTCACCCAGGAGCCTGTTCTGAGTGCAGAGGATGTAGACAGGTTGTGTTGTGGTGCCAACAAACGGAAACCTCTCAGTGTGCTCAAGAAGGTAAAGAAACACATGTATGATAAGTCAGTTTTGACTCATGACTATTTTTCTTAAGAAACGTTTATATTCTTAACCTAGTTGGCATATATTTAAATAAGTTATTTGAAATGTCCCTGCAGCCACAGAGAGACACCATCTCCTGCCTCCTGAGCTGTGTGAGCACCGTGACCAGCCTGTGTCCACACAGAGAGGATGCAGTGCTGCAACGACTGGTGGCAGGCACTTACAAGGGTAAGATACATGTGGAGTCACAGTACGCTAAATGTGTGCATTTCTATTAAAAACGTAATATTAATATCAGGGTGTATATTCAATAATAAGCCTTTTTTAAATCAACAGTGCCCCCATGAGGAAACTTCAAGCCTGGCAACGTTAATGAAGGTCCTGAAGGCGAGTTTAAGAGAAACCTCCCACAGCTACCTCTAAAGAGACAGCAACACCAATGTTCCACTTTGAAGAGCAGAGTCCTTATTATTATTATAAAAGTTGTACTCGTACTTTTACACACTTATACCATTCTCAGTTGGATCAATGACTGAACATATGAAAATTGCTAGTAAAAAACAGAAGTCATTTTAAGAAGAGCAGATGCTAGGGTAAATGCTTTTAGTGTCATTTTGATATACAATGATTTTTCTACGGCAAGTGGGGTTTTCCTTGTATTTTTCTGTATACGGCGCACAATCAAAAGGGTTTGCCCCCCCCCTGACTTAACCCATTGGCCAGTGCTGCATATTGTTATGTAACAATGGCTAACATTTAAATAAATCCCTTACATCAGAATTCAATGAGTACACTGATACAATTTACACTTTACATTAGGCTAAATAATTTGTTCATGTATACTTTAAATAGTGTCAAAGTTACGGTAATGTAGTACTAGCAGATTAAATCCAAACTGTGTGTCCAGAGTCTGATCTGTGGCCTATTCACCCTTCCAAGCCTAATAAATCATTGACACCGTCTGCATACTGTGTTTTCTATAACAGAACAAGTCCATTCATTGACTATTTTTTAAATGCAGTTCAATTACTTAAAATAGTTGAATTTGTACTTTTACCAGCTTAATACTAAAACAGAACATCCCGTTAAAAAATAAAAATGTTAATCACAATTTCAACATTTGAACCAAACATTGTAATAATTCTTAAATTATTTGAAATTAACTACAATATTAATTGCAGTCCTAATTATTGAAAAAAGCAATCCAGTAATAAGACATCAAACAAACAAAGCAATGCAGTTTAAATGTTAATGTTTATTGTGTCAGTGCATATCCGGGTATTAAAAAACAGTAAAAGCAACAGTGCCAAATGAAGACTATAGTAGTAGTTAAACAGTGACATGTAAAGTAATGCTTGTTCCAACTCAGTCACAGTCCTCTGAAAGCTAACACAGTAGCCATGTATGATCAATGTTTCGCATTAAATACACAATTCATATGTACAGCTCAATATTAAAGCTTCAAATGATGTTAACTACTTCATACTCTGTTTAGAAAAGTGTCTAAATGTGTCTAATGTAAACTAAGTGTCTAATGTAAACTAATGTAAACTCTTTGACTGAAGTTCGTGTATGGAGTAGAAAATATACAGACATTTCTAAATAAAGTATTTGAGGTCAAAGCTATGATAAAAAACATGTTACAGGGAGGAAAGTGACAGAACTCTTAAGTGCTCACAGAAATACTCAGTCAAACTTGTTAATATTAAGTTATTCTGAGTGTAAACGTGCTTCAATACCAACAGATCAGCTACGTGTGTCAAAAATGAAAACCTTGGTTGCATTTATTGTGTATGTGCACTCACAGTGTGTAAAAAGAAAACCAAATGTGAAATGAATTAAACATGTAACAAGAAAATCCATCAGTTATTCTGTGCTCTTCGATTCAGACCAGACTCCCTGAAAGCAGGAAGTCTAATCTGATTCACTGAAGGAGTTACCATCAATTATAGGCAGATATTTGCTGTAAATCAAGTGCACAGATAGTAAAAAAGTGAAACAGTTTAAATGAAGCCTGGTGTTGCAAACTCACAGCTTTTATCACTGAAACGTGAATGACACATTAAGTTAAACGTCTCTTTCTCTTGAACCAGGCGTGAGGACTTCTATGACAACAAGCCGTCACTACAAACTCTTAGTGAGCCTCTGTTAGGGGCGAGGTAGGGAGTACAAATACTGCACAACCACATACTGTAGCTTAAAACCCAGCCGGGGTGTGCAGGGTGGATATCAGGGGCTTTGTAGATAAAATATATTATCGTACTATCACCACAAACCGCACGGTAATATTTATTTTCTAAACATTACAAATCAATTTAGGCACTGGAGATCTGAGAGATGGTGTGACTAGTACCAACATCTCTGTCATTTTCGCAAATGCCCAATGTGATGTCATTGGTCCAAATTAGGGATCAGGGTTAGGATGATCTGTAATTCAAGGGTCTAGATTGAGCTGCTGGTGCCATATTGCTCAGAGAAACAGCTCTGGTCAGGAGACGGCATCATGGCAGACTAGCCGCTACGGCGCCGTCCTTCTCTGCGCGGCCTCCTGTAGAGCCAGGTGGCGTTTGGAGGAGATTCAGGGAGGGGAGTGCTTCCCCCTGAGGAAATCAGCCAATAGGAAGCCAGAAGACGTTCCACAGGGTGTCACCCTCGAGCTCACTCACCCTTCTTCTTCAGGATCGTTGGAGTGGAGTCATTCATGGTCCTGAGAGTGACAAAGAATTAATGGTATGGTTGCATTTTTTATGGAGTGGATCGTCTTTTTTTATTTGATCTCTACCTGAGGGGGTGGTGCGGCCAGCTGGACGTCACCGGTGTGGGCGCTGCAGAGCTGGGGCTCATCAGCATGGCGCTGTAGATGTTGGCTGCAACGACCAGGATGCAGAGCAGGATGGGCCCGATGATGGCGCCCTCCAGACCCAGATAGTACGCTCCGCCTGCCACCGCCAGACCCGTCAGGTAGGGGTGTCCCCCTCTGACACACAGAGACAAGAAAACAGATAGAAAAACAGAAAGAAATTGACGAGAAAATATAATAGTGGACTTGGTAGCCGAGTAGTTGCCAAATGACCGCTTGATCGATTCCAGCCTTCATACCCTTACTCTCTTTCCCCTTTGTCACTACTAACAATGTAGATAATTGCGTTATGGCAGGCATCCATTTTTAATGTAGAGTTGTAAATACACAGAGGGGTTTAAACATTTACCCTGATTGCTGCTGCATTACCGAGCAATAAATATCACTTTGATTAAGAAAACACTATTCAAGTTGTTTATTTATCCTGTGGCAAACTCAAGCCATAAATGCAAAGTATGCTTTCAAAATACTAAATAATGTGATGTACTTCTGTATTTTTCTGACTGGAATCTACTGGAACAATATGGTTCTGAAAGAAAATGTAAGTCAAATGTGTTTTTCTGTAGTCCTTCCCCCCCCCATTCCCCATATTAAATATGTGTTTCCCCTTATCTTAAGACACATCCCAACTAGTCTTTTTAGTGACATCAAATCAATAACTCAACCTTAGTGAGAGGAATAATAAAGGGCAGCACTACAGGAAACACAACTCAAAGAGGAAACAGATGAGATGCAGCATAATCTAGCTTGTTGTCAGGGGTTGTTTTTTTATCAGGTTTATCTCAACAGCTGTTTCTTAAGCTGAGCAAGGCAAATGCACACACTTTCGATAGACTTCACCAACAGAATGGTTTCCTTTCAAAGCCATATTTGGGTACAAACCAGGCAGCTGTTATTTGAAATGCATTCGTCAAATGTGTCAATAATCTGAGGGGAAGCTCAGATAACAGAAGCTGGGTACGCGTACATACCCTGATATGTCAGAGTAGATGGCTGTATCTACAAAGTATGTAGGGAGCAGATGGCAGATCAGCAGCAGCACGGCCTTCACGCCTTCGCCCTGCACCAACCACAGGTCACACACTGCGGGCACCGCGGCCCAGTAGGTGCCCAGGAACGGCACCGCACCCAGGATGGCAGCCAGAGCTACGTGCCAGCAGAGAGGGATTCAGAGAGTGAGAAAACACTGAGCAGCTTGGCAGGCGACGACACAATGTGCTGTGAACATGCCGACTCACCAGAAGGAATGAACACTATGTTGATGCCAAAGATGGTGTGAGTGAGCCAGGTGTAGAGGCCGTAGAAGCCGGCCATTTTCAGAGAGGCGTCAAACACTCCTCTGAAGAAAAAACACAAGCACACACATGGTCAAAACAATTATTTAGATACGTGTTAAGGTAGTTAAATTGTTTTTGTGTGTGGCTACCTGATGGCCTCTTCTACTGACTGGCCTATGATATTTGAGGAGGGTCCAGGCTGGGAGAGGGGGGTCAGGCTGATCACCCATTTGACCGGTTTGTAGTATTCACCGCTGGAGCTCAGCAGGTAGAAGAGAGTGGTTAGGAAGATCACCTGCGTAGAAACAAGACACAGCACTAATATGATGATATCTAGTTAAACTAATTCACATATTTCAACCAGTACTTCAGTTCGATCAAACATATTAAGGAACAGAGTACTCTTATATATATTTGGGGTGGTTACTTTACAACAAAAGCATTTATAACTTATGACATTTACAGATTGATCAAGCTTTAAGATCTGTTAAATGCTCCCATTGAGGCCAGTCTGAGAGTCGAAAGAGGTAGCAAATGTAAACTTTAAAAACACATTTTTTTCTACAATGGAATTACAATTTCTTTGTTTTTCTAAATATTCAGATTTAAACTTGTGTTTACATTCAACTGTTAGTGTGACATGTTTTATCGGGGACAACGTGCATCAAAATGTGAAATGAACATATATGTTGTTCAAGAGAGGGAAACAGATACTCAAATATGGGACATGAAAAAGTCGTACCGAGCCGACCCATTTTATACATACAAACCCATGTAATTGGTTCTTTTTGTAAAGTGGTTCATACCAGGCTGAGGACAAAGTTGAGCAGAGCCGTGCCGCTGTGGAACAGGACAGAGAGGAGAGTGGTCGTCGTGGAGATGAGGAGGCCCACATTTCTGCTCATTACCACCCACAGAGACTCCAGGATCTAAAAAACAACAGAAAACCAGTCACCCACAATAAATGTACACCTCTTTGAGACACAGTTATAAATATGTCAATGATTTCCGTCCTGTTGTCGACAAAGACCTATTGCAGACCAATCAGCGCCTGATACAAAGGACAAACAAATGATGATGTAGCACCCCCTACGCTCTAGTCAAGCTATTTTTGTGAATGATGACCAACTCATCCATGACAGGAAGGTAATACATGCTAAATGTCTGCCTCACACAGAAGATATGGTCATACTTACAGACAGCAGAGTCTCAATATTTTCCTGCAGAAAGGAGGCGATGTCTTTCCAGTCCAGGATGTCGACCAGCCAGCTGTTCCCTCTCTGAGCCGTCAGCTTCTGACCGCGGGGGCGTCCAGTGTTGGTCGTGTTCTGGAAAATTAAGGGAATGTTTTACACATTATATTTTTAGGCGACAAATTTGTCCTCAACATTAAAAGTGAAATGGACTGGGCTGACCTTCACGAACCACGAGTGGTACAGTCTGTCCCAGAGCTCCAAAACCTGTTTCTCGATCACGGCTGTGTTGTTCCCCTTCTCCCCTAACATCTTATGCAGCTGTAAAAAAGAAGAAAGATTCAAAGCAGATCAAGGTACTGAAGTATTAAAAATGTGCTTCCTTATTTTGACCGTTGTCTGTAATAATTCTTACCTTTTGTGTTATCCATTCTCTACCATGCTGATAAACATTGGTAGCAGCTGAATTTAGAGCCTTCTGCACCACACGAGCCTCTGGGAGCCAACTAGAGGAGGACAATGTGAGAAGAGGAAGAAAATATAGACTCCATACCATTTTTTTTTTATTAAACGGGGAGTAGACTGTCATACTTGGCCCATTCTGGATGGTTAGAAACGGTCTCATTGATTAG